TTAGAAAGAGTATGCTTTGCATAGTTTGTTCTTTTATATTGCTTGTAAAGTTTGGATGCGTTTCTCGTGTTATGCTGATGAATTTGATTACTACTCACAAAAAAATTATCAAATTCTTCAGGTAGATTTTTAAGATGGTGATATCGAAACATAAACATGGCAGTTAAATAGTCATTAATTTGGGAATTAAAGTGCATAAATGATAAATTTGAGTTGCATGCTGAAGATCTATACGATAGGCCGGACTTTTCAAAATCCTAACTGTACTAAGTAATATCTTTATGTATGGAATGAATATATCTCAGTAGATTTTTGATAGAAGAAATTTCTTTGTGGTTAATTTTAATTGTTCTCTCACAGTCACAGTGTTCACATTTGCTGCCTTTGTATGGCTTTATTTCCAGTGGGAACAGGATTCAATGAAATATCCCCTCCAAGTAAGGCTCCAAGTAGCAAGACTTGACGAGCTGCACATGTGTGTCTGCACACTTATTGTTAAAATTGAATGCCCTACCAAAAAGCTGAAAGTAATGATGCGTAAAATATTGACAAGGTGCATGTATTAAAATTTAGTTAAGAACATCTCCTTGTAAAGCCCGCCGCACACGAGCGCACTTGTCACGCGTACTTGTTATTCGTGACAAGTTGGATCCACAAAATTTCCTCGTGTGCGGGCAACATTTACGGCATTTTCGTCATTCGTGACATGTAAACCAAATATCAAACATTTTTGTTTGATATTTTTCGTCAGTCGTGACAAAAAAATTCTCGTGTGCGGCGAGCAAACGACAAGCGCGCCTGAATAGGAAAATTTGCGCATGCGGTAACTTGCAGAATTAAAAACAAGACGCGAGCTCGTGATTTTGATCCGCCATGTTGTTTTTAATTCTGCAAGTTGCACGCATGCGCAAATTTTTCTATTCAGGCGCGCTTGTCGTTTGCTCGCCGCACACGAGAATGTTTTTGTCACGAATGACGAAAAATATCAAACATGTTTGATATTTGGTTTACATGTCACGAATGACGAAAATGCCGTAAATGTTGCTCGCACACGAGGAAATTTTGCCGATCCAACTTGTCACGAATAACGAGTACGCGCGACAAGTGCGCTCGTATGCGGCGGGCTTAAAGTCGGCGCGATTTTCTGCTGTTGGGAATTTAAAGCAGCTTCTTAAAAAGTTTCTTTGTGCATAAAATTTACTTGTGTCAATCATTTATGCACTCGTGGGTACCAACAGAGTGCTAAGGCATTCAAATTCTAGTACCCTACAGAGTGTCCCAAAAAAACTATTTAAATAAATGTATTGTTAGAATTTGAATGCCTCAGCACTCTGCTGAACCCACACGTGCATCAAAGCTTGACGCAAGTAAATTTTATGCATAATTAAATAAGAAGCTGTTTTAAATTTCCAAGAGCAGAAAATCGTGCGCTTTACAAAGATGTTTTAATTTCTTAATAAGTCAATATTTAATATATGCACCCTTGTCAATATTTTACGCATCTTTGCGTTCAGCTTAGACTTAGTGCTAGGGCATTCAAATTTTAACAATACGTTATTTCAATGGTTTTGAGGGGGTTTTTTGGGAACCCTGTACAGGGTGAGTGAAAAAAACTGATACCTTCGCGGCTAATTTGAATAACAAAGGTGTCAGTTTTTTTTTACTCACCCTGTATAGGCCTACCCTGGATTCCAGAGCCTTCGACAGTAAATAATAAATTGAAATGTTGCGAAGGCTCTGGTTCAACGGGGCGATTCTTTGATTAAACCGCGCCAATCACAAAACAGAATTAATGGTTTTAGTACAGATTCTGTACTAAAACCACTAATTCTATTCTGTGATTGGCGCGGTTTAATCAAAGAATCGCCCCGTTGAACCAGAGCCTTCGCGACATTTCAATTTATTATTTACTGTCGAAGGCTCTGGAATCCAGGGTAGTATAGGCCTGCAATCTTCCCACATCTCACCAAGTGGGGCAAACACAATACAGCAACTACCGTGACCGTAGCGACAATTAGTATTCCCATTGCATGGGACTAGCCGACGAGGCAATGTTTTTACCCGATTACTGCCATTGTGTAAGTGTTTACTCATGCAGTGTGTTTGCCCCACTTTGCAACGATGACGTCGCGAACCCCGAAAAGGTGTATACCAGTACAATAGTCAATATTGATTTTGTAGAACGTTTAACTTTATGATGTCGATAAACAATTTCAGTCAGCAGTACGAACGAATCCCTTTGCGGTTTGATATTTAGATATACCAACGTAAAACGTCTCCATAGTTAAATAGACTGGAACAGTCATAAATGATGATATGCTAATCAGTTGTCCTTTGTCATTATCTTTTTGACAGCAAAACTCTATATTTTAATCAAGCTATAAACGTTTAAAATATAACCAGTTTCATGCCAGAACAACCATACTCTCTCCAAATTCGTCTTTTACTGTTGAAATACACAACCAAAAGTCGATAAGTAAATGAACAATCGCAAACACTGATATTGTTCGCTGTTAGTGATAAGCAAAGAAATATTACTGATACGTATGACGAAGCTCATTGTTCCATAATAAAATAAATTATTCAACTTACTAATCAATACTACGCTAAAAAAGGCTGTCTCCTACCTACATGAACATACTTAATTTGTAATTGGTGACTACGACATTAAAAGACAATAAACTATAGATATGTTCTTATAAAGAACGAGTCACAAGCACATGACAGAACATTTTTGTTTCAGGAAATATTTACTGATAAAACATCTTATATGCCTGCAAACTTGCCATGCTGTACAAGTTCAGCATCCGAGCACTTGGTGTGGTGCAGGTGTGCGGGGGGGGGGGGGGGGAGGGGGTAAAC